ACCATTAGTTGGTTTTTTGACTAAATTAGTAAGCTGATAGTGTGTATGCTTAAATGACCTTTTCATTTGGCTTTTTGTCCCAAACAGCTAAAATTGAAAAAACTAAGAAACATAGCTTTTAGGTTTGGCCTTTCCCCAATATTCCTAATCTACCCATTTATTTTTCTCCCCTAAAATACTCCCTAGTCCTGTATTTCTTGATCCTGTATTTTCTTATGTACGTACTAGGCTATTAGGCTAAACCCTTAAAACTTTGCCAAGTTTGACCGGTACAAGGATTAATAAAGTAAAAAATGTGTGGTTGATGTTTGTGTAGAGGAGAGAGAATTAATTGGAACCACAAATTCTTTACTTAAAAGGGAAAGTGGCAAAATTAGTGGGACATCCAAAAAAGAAAAGTTGTCAAAGTTTTAAGAGACGAAGGGAGTATAATTTAAATATGGCTAAAGGGTCAAATAGGTCTTTGTACCCTTTCAGATTGCTCAATTTGACCCCTCAACCCAAAAAAGCTTCAATTGGCACCCTGAACTCGATAAAAATATTCAAATTTCACTTTTTGCAGGTTTCAATCCGGTCACCGCCACGTCACGCAGTAGGGTGCCAACTATGCATGTGACGTGGCAACTTAGGGGGTCAAATAAGCCCCTGAACCCGATCGAATCGTTCAATTTACCCCCTCAACCCTAAAAAATGTCAAAAAAATTTTAAGGGTTGAAGGGGTAAATTGAAAATTTCAGTCGGATTCAGGGGCTTATTTGACCACCTAAGTTGCCATGTCACATGTACAGTTGACACCCTACCGGGTGATGTGGCGGTGACCGGCTTGTGACCTGCAAAAAGTAAAATTTGAATCTTTTTATGGAGTTCAGGGTGCCAATTGGAGCTTTTTTGAGTTCGGGGGGCAAATTGAACAATCCGGAAAGGTACAAAGGCCTATTTGACCCTTTAGCCTTTAAATATTTATAATATTTGTAATTTTGTATCTATTAAAAAAGTGCAACACGCTACGGAACCAACAAAAAAATATGTCCTTAAAGGTCATTTTATAAATTTTCAGCTGACTTTAAACAACCATTTAACCAAACATCATTTTACAAACCGCTAATTCTATCAGCCAACAGCCAACAACCAACTGCCAAACACCCCCAATACGTAGTACGGAGTAGAATTTTGTTTACTAGTTCAGATCATGTATACTAAGGGTATGTTTGGGAGTTTGGAGGGAAGAGGAGGGAAAGACTTTGGAGGTATGTTGTTGGAGGGGAAGGGGAGGGTGAGGAAGCCCTTCTTTGTATTTGGGAGTAATAAATTTGGAAGAAAAAAGTTTTTGAATGAATTATATTAAAAATCACTTTGAGATATGACGAATTCAAATAATTGAACTGATATTTATTTTTAATTGAGATTAAATTACCATCTCGTTAATTATCCTTCAAAACCCTCCAAATTGGAGGAACTCAAAAATTGAGCATTTAGAGGGTTTTGGAGGGTCACCAAAGCCCCCCAAAACCACCCCCTCCAATTTTATAAACTTCCAAACATGAATAGGAGGGTCATAAACCCCCATCAACCTTCTCATCCCCTCCAAACCCCAACTCCCAAACACACCCTAAAGAATTTTGTTTACGTAGAAATCAATACAAAACTCATTAGTCATTATACTTGCTCATAATATTACTTGTTTGTATCATGAAAGAATGACATCGATATTACTTGTGGAGTTATGATAGACAAAAATATGACTGAAATTGGGATTGACAAAAAAGTGACCCAAAATCTATTCGTGTAACCCTAATCATCCTCATCCGATTAGCGGACTTTGCGCCATTTCCAGACTAAGCCTTCTTCCGCTAAGACTCACCCGCAGCTTCCCATCTCCCTCCTTCACCTTCGTACCGCCAGAGAAGACGCAGATCACCGCCTCTACTGCCTTGACCTTCACCGTCACTATCACTTCTCCAGTAATCTTCGCCGCCCCTTGCCTCGCGTCGGTAATAGAGTGTGCGTAGATGTCACACCCCACACCATATCTAAGCGCGTGTAAAACCGCCGTATGACTAAGTGACGTCACTCGCAAGTCAACGTAATTTAATCATACAAAGCGTCCATGAACATAATCCATCCATACTCAGTAGTAAACATACATAACAACATCACATTTAGACCAATGAATAGCGGAAATATTCAACGGTAAAGCATGGGCCACAACCGACCAAAACATGGGCTCACAGGCCCAATATAGTTTATAGTAAATCAAATATCCATGAGCAAATGTTCGGTAGTTTGAAAGGAAATATGGAAGCACGAACCACGTGTTCCTTGAGTTGACTTCACATGTAAGAAGGTGCAGGTAACAAGCCCTAGCTTCAACCTGAAAATGGTGGGCCCCCCCCGAAGGGTTCAGTACAAGTACCGAGCGAGTAGTAAGCTAAATGTAGGGTAACTAACGTTTCAAGTATAAGACCCAAACATAGGGTGATGCATACACATATAATCCTTTCCCCCCAAGTTATAAAATACATATCAGTATATATACACTTGAAAATACTCGACCCGTAGGTCATTGTTTGTTTGGAAATTCATAGTGGTCAATACCCTTGACTTAAATCCCAACCCACCCATATACCTATGAGTGTATAGGACTCCTCCTGGTCCTAATCATTTCATATTCCGAGTTTTGAGGACAGTACTGTCGTCCTTGGATTCTCCACTATTTATATACCGAGGTTCGAGGACAGTATCATCGTCCTTGGGTCTGCACCATTTATACATTTGAGTTTTGAGGACAGTACCGTCGTCCTTGGGTTCTCCACCATCTAAACATATGAGTTTTGAGGACAGTACCGTCGTCCTTGGGTTCTCCACCATTTATCTACCGAGTTTTGAGGATACACGCTCGATCCTTGGATACTCCACCCGACCTATGACTTACCACATATCACACTTGATAGAGTCTAGATCATATTATTGCCAAAGACTAAACCAAGTCTTAGAAATAAATCATTAGATATCAAACATTGAAATTAAAATATCATATTCCATGCATTTCCATGCACATTACACATATATAGGATATCTCGGGTAAATCCCCCCATCGAACCGGGCCCGAACTGCTTTTTTGGCGAAAACGGAACCTGGTGGCAGCAGCTTAACCGGCACCGGTTATGCCCTATAACCAGCGCCGGTTATGCCTATTTTTGGCTAAATCGGGGCAGTAGCTTAACCGGCACCGGTTAAGTCCTATAACCGGCACCGGTTTAGCCCTTTTGTGCGGGTCAACGGCCCGTTGACCCCCGAAACGAACTCCGTTCGATCCGAAATTTTTACACAGCATGTATAAAGTCTAAAACAATCATTAAATGCCATTTTATCCATCCAAAACATCATACATGGTTTTATGCACATTTTATACTCTTCACATGGATAATCATGTAGTTTCATTCACATAAGCCTAATTACCTTGGCTAATCACATGCTTAATCTCTCTTAAACATAATTATAAATACTTAAAGCATTTCCTTAGGTAATCTCATACTTAACACAAGAGTTACAAGACATTAAGCCATCCACTCACCTTGAATGAGCTTTAAGAAGTTCTACCCTCCTTGGTTGAACTCCGGCGAAACTTTGGCGAACTTTGACAAACTCCGGCGATAACTCCGGTGACTCTTTCAACTCCGTGAAAGTACTAGGAACACCTTAGTCAAGTTCTTAACAATGTTTCATCATCACAAAACCCATATCAATACAAATAACCTCTAAAAGGTTATTTTCCGGCGAACCGCTCACTTTGGCATCTAAGTCCATTCTTGGACTTATAATCACCTTCCAATCCCTCATTCTACATTTATAAACATGTAGAACAAGCCTAGGGGTTCCTCATATGCTATACATGACATATGATAAATAAAAGATATAAGAAAGATCATTAGAGAGCTCCTCACATTTATCCTCAAGGTTTTTCTCAACTTTGCAGGGTCTTATCTTTCATTCCTTGATGGCTTGGTAGAAGTTGTGGTAGAGACAAGAGTGAAGATGACTCTTTTGTCTCAATAGAGCAATGAGTGTGGATGTAGGGATGGACTCGGGTCCGGGCCGGGTCCGGGCCGGGTCCGGGTCCGGGTCGGGCCTAGGCCCGGGCGGGCCGACGGTTCAGAAATGGTGGACCCGGGACCGGCCCGGGTAACCACTGGGTCCGGTCCGGGTCCGGGCCCATTATCATTTTTTTTTGTTTTCCTCTTCCTAATTAACCCCCCTCCCACCCCCAACCCCACAAACCACCCCAAATGGCCCAAAATACCCAGCCCAACCCGAAAATTTAAAACAAATTGAAAAAAATAGGTTTTGGCCCCAACCGGGCCCGGCCGGAAAACCCACGGACCGGGCCTACCCGGACCGGTCGGGCCGGGCCGGAACAGTACCGGTCCCGGGCCGGTTCCGGGTCGGGCCACCCGGCCCGAGTCCATCCCTATGTGGATGAGATGGTCCACCTCATGTCTTACCTTCACTCATACATCCTTTCAACACCCCCTCACCATAATGCAGACCCCTCAAGTCAACTTTGAGCACACAAAAACGTGGGGTGACCCCCACTCATGTGGGAGGTCATCCCTTTATGTCCCGAACTATACAATCGGCCCCGAAAGTTGTATTCATCAGACTGTTTTAATTATATTTTATTTTATCGGGTCAAATAAAATATATCACATGTTCCAAATCACTATAGGCCTTTAGAATGAATATACATTCCTCAAATCTAATTTAGAAGTCTCTGAAACTCGTTTCGGACTATTATCCCTTAAATTACCAATACAGGTAATTGGGCCTTGTTTGACCAACCGGTCAACCCTGTGCCCTTCCCATGGCCCAACTGGAATATCCACCAACATATACATATTATCTAGATCAATATGAATATAATACGTGGTCTCGGAATTATCGGATCGATGGTCCCCGCTCCCGATGTGGGCCCCACATGCAATTCACTATTCACGCATAAGTAATAACAAAAATTTACAACTTCGTAAATTCATTAACCATATCATAAGGTTCAATACATGAGTTACATAAAAGTAAATACACTTGGGGACGGTGTTACAATAGATCATCGTTTTCATTCCTATCCTCATGAGGTCTCCTCCCACTTCTATTTTCTTCTTATTCAGTTCGGGCTCCATGGTGCCACCACTGCATCCGTCGTCTTCGATAGAGTTGCAGGTGGGCCACAACCATGGCTAGGGTTGTTTTGTCGGGGCTGGGAGTCTACAGAGGCGGGCTGAAGAGGGGGCTAGGGCAGGGGAGGTGAAGTTCTGGGCGAGGTTGGGGGTTGGGTTGAGGCAGGGAGGTGGCCGGGGTGAAGTAGGGGGCTGGGGTGACGCAGGGGAGGGGGCTAGGTGAGGCAAGGGGGTGGGTGAGGCAAGGGGGCTGGGGTGACACGGGGAGGGGGCTAGGTGAGGCAGAGGGACTGGGTGACACAGGGGAGGGGGCTGGTGAGGGAGGGGCTTGGGTGTGTTGGTTGATAGTGGTGGTTGTAGGCGTTGGTCGGGGGTGGTGGGTGGCGGAGGTAATTGGGCATTGCAACGGCGGTAATTGGGCAATGCCGGCGGTAATGTCACTGAGTGGCATGTGCCGGTGTCACTGTACGTGGTGGTGTAACATGCAATAACATTAGACCTATATGGTTCTATTTTTCTTCTCTTTTGCAGGTGAGAACGACAGAAAACAATGACCTTAGACAGACTTTGTTTCTTTGGTGGATTGGAGGGAAAGACAACACTACCAGGAGCACTCTTAGGCAAGCACTCTCTGGAATTATACTTTGGCACATCTGGAAAGCTTACAATGCTTACATATGGGATAACAAACCATTCTCGAGGTCTAAAACAATCGCAAACATTAAAGAATACACATCCAAATGGATATACACAAATCAACAAAGATCATGCATACAATTTGATATTGACTTCCACAACGATGGGCTCATGCCGTTGATACAGACAAACAAGAAGAACCCACAGCTATTGAGATGGAAAACAAACTCACAGTATCAACTCACCCTCAATACCGACACTGCCTTCAAAAACTCCAACGCAGCGGGTGGTGCAATTCTGAGGGACAACACTGGACGTCTGCACTAAGCAATGGCCTTCCCTATCACAGCATCCGATCCCATTCAAGCGGAAATTGAGGCTCTCCATACCTCAATACAAATTTTGACAAAATGGGTTACTTCTCACTAAACATCTATAAGGACTCAGAAATAAGAGTGAAAATGATCAAAGGATTGGACACAGTACCTAGGTACCTGGAATCGTCGATACACAGCATCAACAACCTCAGGCTTGCTCACAAGCTCTCCATCTCCTATCGACCGCGAGAAACCAACACAGTAGCACATCATCTTGCACAAACGGGTCTCCTGTCACCAAACCTCCAAACTTTCAAGGCCAACGACCTCCCTCTCAGAGCAAAAAAAGCATACAATAATGACATAGAAGGGATTACCTACTTCTGTGATGCGGGCTGAAGCGCTGAACCTTCGAATCTGGAGAATCGATGCTCGGAATCCTTCGGTCGGCTCTAGAACTCTCTCATTATACAATGAACCCTTGATGCGTTGGAATATTTTGTTGAGGCCCTAATTATTCTTTAAATTTGGACGGCAGCTCTTGTGCCCATGGCCCAACTATCGGCCCATTCTATTTTGGGATCTTTAACATTTTTTTATCATTTGTACTCTTTCTTATCATTTGTAATCCTTGCAATTCAAACTTTCTCTTAAAAAAAGAGTGTCACAAAAAAAAAAAAATAATAAAAAAAATATTTCATTTATTTCATATTCTAACAAATTAAGTCAATTATTCAATTCAGTCTATTTTAGTTATACCAAACAATTGCATTTGTTTTATTATTTTTATTATATAATAGAGCTTCGATATCAAAGTAGGCTTAGTAATAGAGCTTGGCAAAAATTTAAAATGAAATGCGACATATTTAGAGAGACTAAAATCATATTTAAGCACAGGGCACATTACCAAAAAGTTGGAAATGGCCACGTTGGTTCATAGATAGACGGCGGTCCTACGCCGGACCCGTCAGATCGGTTTCGTCTTGTCCCGCGTTTGCGTGTCTCTCTCCGCTTGCTTGGCGCGTTCTGTCCATACCGTATCTGTATAAAATCTTTTTCCGTATTTATACTGTATGTACGGAATACAATATTTCGAAATACGGATATATACCGACACAGAAGTACATTCTCAGTATGTACGATTGTACGTACAGCTGGTAGTGAGAGAAAGCTGTGAAGACTAACCATGGAAACCCAGCGCTCGAATTTCAAAGAGCTTAGTATTCCTTCTCCCACCACATCAAAAAGCCCCTCATCTTCTTCATCTAAGGTCTCTCTATATCTGTTCATTTTAATTAGTTTTTATATCTTAAGCATTATGGATAGGTCTATTGATCTTTTCCCATTTTCATTATCAGTTACAATGCTTCTCTTTTTGTGCTTTGTAGCAGACTAAGAGAAAGATTCCATTGCAGAGTAAGAGAAAGCTTGTTTCTAAGAAGCCTGAAAAGTTCAAATCTGAGGCTAAACAAGTAAAATTTTGTTTTCATAACATTTTTTTTGCTTTAAGGATACAAACCTATTTGTTGATTTAGGTTTAAGTAGTGTTGACATAAGTTTTCCTGTTACAAATATTTGTTTCGTTTAGAGTTGTTCATGTATCTCATGTGCCAGTGGTAGTGAGTAATATTAGGGGTGTCCAACATTAAGATTAGTGTTTTTCTTTTATTGACTCATGTGCTACAACATTTGAAGCCCTAAATTTGTGATTGTTATTATTTTTCGTGAAAATGAAGTTGAATGGTTTCTTCATCATACTATTGTTATTTTGTTTATTGATCTATCAAAAGTTGTCCTAAATAGGATTAAATACGACTTGATTTTCCAAAGTAGGAGTAACATGTATTTCCCTCTAAATAGGAGTAATTACTGCTTTAGAAAATACTGTCAATTATGTCATTAGTACTGCCGAATTAATGTATGATAATGCCAAATTATGGCAGTACAATTTCAGGTTGTCAATAATTCACACATATTTATGGAGAAAACATAGTACTACTACTCAGGGAAACCACGTTATAAACCCTTGTTAAGTTTTTGTCATTGTTCTTTGCCTGAAATCCTTGTTAAGTTTGTTTTTTCATTCACTCAGAATAAGTATCGTTTTCGAAAAAAGATCAAATATTAAAGAGCTGTTTAATGGACAAAAGCTTTAGTATGTTACCCCTTGCTAACATTTCATAGTCATTGGGAATAATTTTGCATAGAAAGTGATAGACTATAAGTCTAGAGAGAAGGGAGAGCTAGAGAGAGAAGTGCAGTAAATGCTTTGTATTAATGATTTTCAGGCCCATATACTCCATCAGAAAGATATCGTGAAATAGTGTCTTGGTCATATAAAAGACACATACTTCGTGAATAGGTGGAAGTAATAATCTAGACATCTTAGGGACACTTTGGATGGAGGGTTTTGTAGGGAAGACTAAGGAGAATTTAGTTTATGTGTATAAAATCCCTTGCACCCTTTTCAGGTGATTGAATGAAGAGATAGAAATTGTAATTTGTAAATTGGTTGGTTTGACCATTTCAAGGTAGTGTGTGCTATTATATATTTTTTGAATGACAATAAACTATTTCAATTGGTGAACAGGTAAAATCTAATAATCCCAGAAAGGCAAAGAGGTGAGTGGTTAATTAATATTCAAACTTAGGTCCCATTTGGTAAGATTATATTGGCTGAAAGGACTGAAATACTGAATCAGCTTAATATTTTCCAAAAGGAAAGTGTTGGGTAACATCCATTTCAGCCAAACGGAGTCTTAACCCCCCCCCCCCCCCCCCCCCATTCCTTGCCATCTTCCTCACTCCCCTATTGAAGCTTCCAACTTGCTCTAATCACATTTTCAGTGTGAAACGAAAAAGGGTGACTATTGGTGATGTCTATGATGATGATGTAGAAGCTAAGTTCTCTGTTTTGGAGCGGGCAGAGAGGGTGATGTCTAGACTTTCTGATGAATTTCCCATATTTTTAAAATGCATGCTCCCCTCAAATGTTGCTCATGGATTTTGGCTGGTAATCTTTTAGTTATAAAGTATTTTATCTCCAATTCAAGAAAGCGGCATATCAATTTAGTGTAGAGTAGAGATAACTACTTTATGTTCTAGCAATATCTTTTGACATTTTCTCTGCAATAAGCAGCATCTTCCGAAGGCATTCACAGACATATATTTACCAAGTCATGACGCTAATATTACATTGGTTGATGAATGGGGAAATGAGTACAAGACCTCTTATCTAATGGAAAGGCATGGACTAAGCGCTGGATGGAGAGCCTTCTCAATTTCTCATAGATTGCTCAAAGGAGATCTCTTGATCTTTTGCTTGATTGAGCCATGCAAACTTAAGGTATTTTTTCAGAAAAAAAAAACATTTCTTCGATGTATTTCTGTATAGAAACAAGCAAAATGTCCCTGTGCTTCATATTAATTTACTAGCCAAATATTGGAAAAGCCGCTAAAGTAAAATATACAACTTAATAGACAGTTTTTAGATAATATTTAAACCGACTGTCAAAGCAGATCAAGACTACGTGTTTTTCTGTTAAATTTTGAATAAGAAAGAGATTTCTTCTTTACTATAGTCCAGAAATATGTCATTTCCGTAGTATATAGGAATGGACTGTCACCTTAAAAGGTAATAGCATCTCCAATGCTACAACTTGCACTGTGCATATGTGGCATGGAAGATAGCCACATAAATATTAGTAAATAAATTATCTCTCTCCTTATTTAAACGGGTTTCTATAAATTTGGTAAGTTTTTCTTAACAATGTCAACCACAATGTCTACATCTAGACAGTGTTCATGACATTGTCGAGAAAAACTTACCAAAATTGTATAAAATCATTCAAATAAGGAGAGGTATAATTTATTTACTAATATTTATGTGGCTATCTCTCATGTCACATGTCCACCGTGCACATTGTAGCATTGGAGATGTTCTAAACCTAATAGGAATAGTCAAATGTTTATAGTATAAATGTGTTTTGTATTTAGCAAGTGTGATAATGGCTTAACATGCCCGTAATAATGGCCTCTCATTGGAGCAATACTAATGATGAAATTGTTGTGCTCTTTTGAGTCTTAATCAGGTTGATTGCTCTTTTGAGCTGAATCTACTTTGATCCCATATTTAGTATAGGCTTCTATCTTAAAAGATCACCCTAATAGGATGAGCAGACCGACACTTATTTTTTTGTTACACGTAGACCAACACTTTATATGTGAATTAGTGTTTATGTATTTAACGATATCATTTAACACAATAATGTCATGTTAATTAAATTTCCTAATAATTATTCTTGGAGAAAGCATAGCATTGCGAATTATGTGGTTATTAAGAGAGTTCTGTTCTTTCCAGGTAGCTATAGTAAGGGTAAATGGCCCAGATGTTGTAGATGCAGCTCTTTGCCTCTTGAACTTGGATGGTTGTGAGAAAATAGCCGATCAAGGTAATAAAATAGTTACATATTTGTTTATAGAAATAGAAACATAATATGAAATTGTCTCTTGAGTGTGTTGATATCGGTTTTTTTTTATTTTCATGTTGCATGAATATGACAAAGACCATTCACGGAAAGATAAACGTAAAAAGCCAATGAAATTCATAGAGCCATATATCCATGATGATGTGTGTAAACCTGAGGAACGCCATGTTGAAGATGGTGCGGGTCAAGTTGAACATTATACTGCAAAAGATTGGGTTTCAGAAGTAGTTTTTGAGGGCATTCCCACCAACCACCAGCTGAGAGACTCCAGAACGCTTTTGTGTGCATGATGTGCGTGTAGATAGACTGCTGCTGAAAAGGGTTGGAGTTTATTAGAGATTCAGAGCTCACACACTCAATCCATGTTCCCAAGAGGATATAAGTTTTTGTATAATTATTATAAACGCTTTGGAGGGGTGAGCTAACTGAGCTTTGATAGCGTCGGTTCCTTTGATCCCTTATACCTGAAGTCATTTTGATTTTGGAACAGTATTTCATTTTTGGGGTTCTCTTTGAGTGGGGAGGGGAGTAAAGAATATTTCACCCTTGACCCTCCCAGCTGAGATGAAATATTATCTGCCTTCAGTGTCTTGAGTATTTATCTACCTTGACCTGTATACATATGAAATGTCAAGAAAATCTCAGTGATGTTCAACATTGTATACTATTCTAAGGCTCTCCAGCGGAATTATACTTCCAACTTGATGAACTGCTATTCTGGACATGCAATTCCTACTGCACAGATTTTTGCCCATGATATGATTTTTTTGGCATTAATGTGACTACATTAGAGTACATTTAAAGATCATAGTAGGGATGGACCGAACCGGGCCAAACCGGCCCGTGAACCGGACCGACCCGCTACTGTGCGGGCCCGGACCGGACCGGGACCGGATGGCCGGTTCCGGGCTTTTAGCCCGTGTGGGCGGGCCTGGCGGGCCGGGCTCAGGCCCTACTTTTGTTGAACTGGCCCGGGCGGTTCGGGCGGGCCCGGTTCATTTTTTTTTTTCAATTTTTTTTCTTTTCCTTGGGTAGGGCTGGGTGTTTTGGGGAGGTTTGAGGGGTGCGGGTGGGGGGGGGGGGGGTCGGGGGTTAATTAGAAAGCAAAAAAAAATTACGGGCCCGGCCTGGCCCGGTTAGGCCTGGACCTGGTATCAACCTGGGCTGGTTCCGGGCCCAACAAACTGGAAAAAAAGCCCGCTCGGGCCTGTCCCGGAACCAGACCGGCCCGGGTCTATCCCTAGATAAAACTATAAAAGTATAACTACTAAAAATTTCAAAAAAAGAAAGTAATGACTTCTCACTTGATATCTGCTCTACGTTTTTTTCTTTCGAAGATAACATGCAACAATATGTAATTCAATAATGTATTAATGGATCTATAATTCTACGTCACTTTGACCATCGATGTGGGTGAGGTTGGGAATTGGGATGTTGATGAGAGGAGGAAAGACTTGGGATTCATTTGTGATTATTTAGTTACTTTTGTAAATATATTTTGAAAAAATTCCATTTTTTGTCCAATGACTATTATACCACTTCCACATTTAGTTCCTTACTTTTAGATTGTTCACATTTAGTCCGTGATCATTATCCACTCAACACCCTTCGTCCTTCCGGCCAAAATTTCGTCAAATTTAATGCAGATTTTAGGTATGAAAAACCAAATTTAATGGAAAGACTGATATGAAAAACCCAACCTGATATAAAATTTAATGCAAAGACTGATTCTAAGGCTGAGAAGTGGACTAAATTTACCAGAATTTTGGCCGGAATGACGAGAGGTGGTAAGGGGATAATGGTCACGGACTAAATGTGGACAATCTGAAAGTAAGAGACTAAATGTGGAAGTGTTATAATAGTTATGGAACTAAAAGTGAAATTTTTTCAAAAAAATTTAACCGTAGCTGTATTTGTATCATTTTTCTTATTCTCCAATTCCATAATACAAGTGTGTTCATACATTAGAATTTGATTCCATCGAGTACATTTTGAATTCCCAAGTGTAATTGTCTGATTATGTGACGTACCAAACGAATTGTCAAGTTATTGCAAGTCTGATGAGTGCGTTGTAAGCAATGTGCTTCTTTTCCACAGATTCTAATGAAATATTGAGTGCAAATAATCATGTTCTCTAACTTTTTTGAAATATTTTTCTTCACCTACTATTATATTTGTTTATAATAATGACAACATCTTTAATTGCGATGAAACTGGAACTGGCGAGTCTCTTTTGAGAGATTAGCAATAATGACATCAGACCAGAATGTACTGACCATGTTCTCTAACTTGAAAATATCATAATTTATTGTTCCGCAAGTAGATGTGTAAATGAGCCAAGCCGCTCGCGAGCTGCTCGTGGATCGCTCGGGGAAAGCTCGACGCGAGTTCAGTCATATTAAGCTCGACTCGAATAGTTAACAAGCTCAATTCAAGCCTATTTATTTTAGGCTCGTGGCTCACGAGCTGATTCGCAAGCTTTTGTGTCATACTACCTCCGTCACTTAAAACTTTGTCAAAGTTGACCGGCACAGAAAATAATAATGTAAAAACTGTGGTTGAAGTTTGTGCAGAAGAGAGAGAAATAACAGAAACCACAAAATAATTGATTAAAAGAGAAAAGCCTTTTGGCCTGGATATTACTAAAAATAAAATAAAAGACAAAAAAATGACACGTTTCTGAAAATTCCAAAAATTTGACTAACACCACAATTAACCCATGCAGTGCAAAGTGACTCCGCTCAAAGTGACTCTGACCAAAGTGACTCTGTCACCACAGTGAAAGCCCGACCGGCCACAATGACTGCGCCACTGAGCAAGTGACCTCCCTACCGCTCACAGTGACTGCCCACCGGCCAAAGTGACTCTGACATGGTGACTCAGACACAGTGACTGCCGCCAACACCGCCCCTAAGTCCACACATAACCTCAGTCACTGTCCCACACATCGAGCCTCTTAGCCCAGTCCACAATGCACCCGCCACTCACACTAGCAAACCCAACTCCTCCCCTGTTGCTACCGCTCGCCGGCAACCGGCAACCGGCAACAACCGCCCCACCATCCAAGTTAGGAAGCCTAACCGCCAAATCTAACCGTCGGGATCCGGAATCTATCAGATCTGGGAAGGTGCTGCCCCCTCCACCAGCCGCCGCCATTCCAGTGACCACCCATGCCACCCCCTCTGCCATCCGCCGCCACTCCACGGCCAGCCCCCTGCCCCCACGTCCTACCAGTCCAACCCTGAACTAGCTCCCTCGCCCTGTACAGTGGCTGCCACACCCCCTTCGACTGCCACCACTACCCCAACTTCCCCCACCCTAACCTTCTTCCCTAGCCACCCGCCATCCCCAACCCCTTCCCCCATCGCTGCCCCCATCAACGCTCAAACTCTTGCCCCACCCTTCAACTTTAACATTAGAAAATGAGATCTGCCATCGATTTGAGGAGAAGGACGGCGAACTGTCGGGTAGAAGAAGTGGAGAAGAAAACAATGAAAGCGGCGAGATCTGCAAAATCTACAGTGAAGAGGATCGGCGGTGATGCTAATGGTGTCAGCGGCTACAGGGCGGCGGCGCCATGGCTTGGACGGGAGAGGCGATGCCATGTCTTGGAAGGCGGCGGAGATTCCATGGCTAGGGCGGCGGTGATTCCATGGCATTCCATGGCTAGGTCAGCGATTCCATGGCTAGGTTTGGGACTCCTTGGTTTGGGAAGCGACGAAACAAACGGAAGGATGTTGATGAGAAGCAGATTGAAGGGTTACTTTTTTGTCTAATGCTATACCGGTCATATTTTTGGAAAATAGAAGTCTAATAGTCTTCTTTGCGCCATTATTTCAAAGGGAAAATGACAAAGTTTTTTGTGACGTCCCAAAAAGGAAAGATGACAAAGTTTTAAGGGACGCAGGGAGTATTTTATACTACATCCGTCCCTTAAAACTTTATCAACTTTCCCTTTTTAGCTGTCCTACTAACTTTGGCACTTTCTTTTTTAAGTAATAAATTTGTGGTTCCAGTTAATTCTCTCACCTCTGCACAAACCTATACCACACATTTTTTACTTTATTAATCTCCGTGACGGTCAAACTTGGCAAAGTTTTAAGGAAGGAGGTAGTATATAATAATTATATTTGTAATGATTATATATATACACTTTTTTTGGGAATATGTATTCTGATTTAGGACTATTGCATTTTCAATACTTATCACGAAGTATATTATAATAGTAATAATTACAAAAATAATACTCCATCCGTTCCTGAATTATCTTCAAATTTTCCTTTTTCGTCCGTCTTAAAATTATCTCCTCCTTCCCTTTTTGGCAAAGAATTTGTGGTTCACAATCATTCTTACACATTCTTACACATTTCTCTCTCCTCTGCACAACTCTCCACCACACAAAACTCACTATCTTAATTAGTGTGCCCAGCTGAAATGGGAGAAAAAACAGGGACGGAGGGAGTAACATGTACATAGTATTACTATTGCAACCATAACCTATAATAATTATAATATGTACCTGTAATATTTATTAATAGTAAAATAAAGAATAAAAATGTCAGTAAAGAGAGATAAACTAAAAATGAGAATGAATAACTACACATATTATATTTTTAGCTCGAGTTCGAACATCTTATTCGAGTTCAAACCTATAAAAATAATTAGCAAAACTTGACCCGAGCTCGAGTGAAGCTCGGCTCGAGTTCGAGCCCGAATTATTTAACTCGTCCAAGCTCGAGCTCGAGCTCGTGAATTCTTATCAAGCTCAAGCTCAAGCATACCCATGTTCGGGCTCGGCTCGTTTGCACCTCTATCCGCAAGTAAAGCAACATATACAATTGGAGTAAAACATTTTTTTAAAGGGGAGTAAAAATATTTATTCACTAATTAAGAGTAATTACCATCAAACTTAAAAAATATTGTCATGTTTAAAGTCTAAAAATGCCAAAACATAATAGTGCTATTTTGAAATTCAAATACATTTTTACTCTTATTTACGACAATTTATTTATTACTTTCCACCTCGTTTTCATATATCTCAATCACACAATTTTAATATTATTATTCAAGAATAAATCATACATGAAAATTTTTATTTGGTAAATATGAGTAATTACTTACAACCTTGGGAAATATTGTATCCTATTTTCAAATTTACAAATGGTTTTACTCTCATCTAGGATAAGTTTTTTATAATTTTTAGCAACTTAAATTAATGCTCATACTAAGGTAAGTGATATTCAGTACAAACAACCCAATAGAAATTCTGAATAGTATTTTCAAGACTTCAACCGAACGGTTGGTAAAATAACTTTATGTGAAGTTAACTCTGCTCTTACAAAGTAAGAGTGAGATTGGCCTGGTTTAGGTTGAATTTTTGTTAATCTAGAAAATTACTTGTAAGAACCCTCATTAAGAAAATTAGAGATTTGGTCTAAGTCGGATTTTGATAGCGCGAATTCAATCCGAGTTCGAATAGGGCCAATAAAAGCCTGAATGACAAATATCACCTTGTCCTGTTATATTTAAACATATTTCGAAATAAAATCACTCAAAAATATTAATCTCCAAATCACCAACAATTCACAATCAAATAAAATAATTCATCTTAATATTGTGTTTTTAGTCACACAAAAATATTGCGTTTTGGATACATATAAACAAATAATAGAGTTTTTTTCCAAAACATTACTATGTAGTATGGTACTAATCAAAATTACGATCAAAAGTGCATAAAGTTCTACAATTTTCATGGTCAGTATGATGTAAACATCGAATATGATTGTAGTCACTTATTGAGCTTCACTCGAGCTAAATTCGAGCTCTGCTCGAGCTCGGGTCAAGTTTTGCTAACTATTTTTATAGGTTTGAATTCGAATAATATGTTCGAACTCGAGCTAAAAATATAATATGTGTACTTAATTCATTCTCATTTTTAGTTTCTCTCTTTACTGACATTTTTATTCTTTATTTTACTATTAATAAATATTACAGGTACATATTATAATAGGTTATGGTTGCAATAGTAATACTACGTACATATTATTTTTGTAATTATTACTATTATAATATACTTCGTGATAAGTATTGAAAATGCAATAGTCCTAAATCAGAATACATATTCCCAAAAAAAAGTATATATATAATCATTACAAATATAATTATTATATACTACCTCCTTCCTTAAAACTTTGCCAAATTTGACCGTCACGGAGATTAATAAAGTAAAAATTGTGTGGTATAGGTTTGTGCAGAAGTGAGAGAATTAACTGGAACCACAAATTCATTACTTAAAAAATAAAGTGGCAAAGTTAGTGGGACAGCTAAAAAAGGAAAGTTGGTAAAGTTTTAAGGGACGGAGGTAGTATAAAATACTCCCTCCGTCCCTTAAAACTTTGTCATCTTTCCTTTTTGGGACGTCACAAAAAACTTTGCCATTTTTTCTTTTAATCAATTATTTTGTGGTTTCTATTATTTCTCTCCTCTTCACAAACCTCAACCACACAGTTTTTACTTTATTATTCTCCATGCCGGTCAACTTTGACAAAGTTTTAAGGGACGGAGGTAGTATGACACAAAAGCTTATAACTACACTGTCCGTGTGAGTTAATTATTAAACAAGAGTCACTATAGTGCATTTCAGAATATAATTAAAATTTGACATCCTAATTAAGCAAATAAAATGAAACTGTTTGACAAAAAAAAAGTCAAATTTGCAAATCAATTTGGGACGAAGGTAGTATCATAATTTGAGTTTCCCCTTGGCAAATAACTACACTTTCCTGGTCTGTAAAATAATCGTGCCCAACACTCAACCTTACTGGGCAGGATCATTCCAAAAAAAAAAAGGATGACACTCCATCCTTGAGGGCCCTCCAACCCCAACCGGACGGTACGTTGGGAGGATGTAAATTGGACTATAACCCCAATCTGACAGATAGAGAGTGAGGCTCTGTCCCCGGTACTTGCAGAGGCCCTATGCATTTTTTAGCATAGTAACCCCTCATCGCAGTTGCCAGAATTCGAACCCGGGACCTAACCCTTGTGGCACTCCCTTCTTACCGGTTGAGCTACGCCCACTGGTGGGCAGAATCATTCCATTAGAACGAACTAAATTAAATGAAGAAAACAGAGTATGAAAGTAAGTAAATATAACAAGAAAAACAAAATAAAGCTCAAAGTTATCATTGCTCTTTGCTATCATCATTTTAGTTTTGGGTTACCCTATTGGCACTAGAACAATGCTAGTACTTTTCTCTCAACAACTATACATGCAGGCATGCAGCTATAGAAGCGCCATTGATGGCCGTTGCAACTTTTATTATGAATATTATTGTTTTTGTTGTGATACTAATCATTACGGAGTAACAACATACTCCAAATCTTGTTTGAAGTGTTGCTTTCAAGTTTACAGTTTTGAGACTTGTTGGCTGAAAGAAGGGTCTATGCAAACCACAACCTGCAGTTGGAAAAATTATGTTTGGTACCTCCCCGTTAAACAACTAGATTGAACCAAAATTCAAATTAGAAAAAAACGATAATTGAAACCTACAAGGAAAGCATCAGACATGTACGTACCTTGCCAGTGCTATTGCCTGAATGGAGATGCTCAACAGCATCAGCAACAGAATTAAGTCCCACAAACGTTTTTGGATCAATGGCAACCTTTGGCGATTAAGGACAATTAAAACTTTTAATTAATACCAAGTAGTTACGATGTTGCAAAATTCAAAATCATAGTAGTTGTTTACTAATCAGACATATACATGAAATAATTTATTGCGGTAGATACATATAGGTATATACTACATAACTTACTTTTAGCTTTCCAGAGGAAAATAAATGTATCAACCTACTCAAATGCTCATGCCACAGATGAACATATTGTACCAGGAAAAAACCAGCCTGAAAAACACAATTGCACCCACCAATTTTAGCCTTTCCATGAATATTAATAAAGACAAAAATATGACTTATTTTAAAATTTTCAAAAAAAGTGTCATATTTAGTGACTAGTTCCCAATGACTCATCATCTATTAAAGACTTGTCACTCTGAAATGCACTATAGTGACTCTTGTTTAATTACTCGTACACACTGAGGAAACTCTGTTCATAATATACATGTCATTTTTTCACATTTATATAACACTGTAGACTCAAATGTGACCAATCAAGATGACGTACCACAGTTTGACTTTTAGCTAAAAGCTTTTCGCATAATCCAGGGTAATTTTGTGGTTTCCAGCCATGCTCTCCTTGATACTGAAATAAAGATTACTTTTCAGTTGGCCACGGAAAGTGACATTGATCAAAAGCATCGAATCATAGACCAGGTGGTACACAAGCAGTGATATTGACGTGAGAATCCAAGGATAAGAGCCCGTTTAGTTAAAGCCTTTTCTAACCTACACGCTCATCAACAAAAATTTCACAAAACACACTTATTTCACTAACCTGATTGAATCGGCTATTAATGAAAGTGTAAAAGTTTTTCAGTAGCCGGAATTAATGAAGTTTTTTTACCTTCGTTTGTTAAATAGTGCTACTTATAGTTTTTTTGAAGAAATATATGATAAGCAGATTCAGACATTTCGTCCACAAATCTATTAGTAATTACAGCGGCCATATAGATCTTACCAGAAGGTCTCTAAATGAACTCATTATGAGTCAATATGGAAAAATTCACCAGGGTATATAGGCGGAGATATTTTAAAGCAAAGGAAACTTTTAAACCTGAGAGATCATTCCAATGACAACAAGTCGCCCATACACTGCCAAAGCATTTAGGCATAAGTCAAACATTGGACCACCAACAGACTCGTAGACAATATCAACTCCTTTTGGGAACTCCTTCTTCAGAACCTGTCGGAAGTATATATAAGATTTTTTTTTTCCATTTACCCCAGTGCCGCAAAGGCTCCCACCTACGGTGGGGTAAGGGGGGTCGGATGTACGCAGTCTTACCCCTGTACTAAAGCACAGAGAGACTGTTTTTATAAGTGCTGTGGATCAATTGTAAAAAAACACATTTTGCGTTGCTCGTCTTTCTGTCAGTTCAACCATCAACAAAATGCAAGCTTCTAAATATTTATAGAGATAAGCTACAGACTTACAGATTTTATAGCTTCCTTCTTGTAGTCAATTACACGATCAACTCCCAAGTCTCTCAAGAGATTGGCCTTTTCACTACCTCCGCATGTTGCAACTACTGTATTTCCAGCTAACTTAGCAAGCTGCAAAGGAAATTTATCATATGTTATGACGAGGAAAAGGGAAATCACTCTATAGTACACAAAAACGTGTGTGTGAATTGTGAATAGCTTCATCGTAGTTGGTCTAATGTACTTCCTATTAAAGTACACCACATCGGGAATATATAAAATGGATTTCGTAATATTTATATCAAGGCTTTAAGATTGAGAATCATACTCTAGCTCTTATTTGGTTGTTGGAGATATTAAAATTAAAATTTAAGAACTCCAACTGTACCTGCACTGCAAACTGCCCTGTCCCTCCAGCAGCAGCAGTAACAAGAACCACTTTTCCTGATTCCATTTGAGCAGCCTTCAAGTCCATTGATAACAAAAAGATTTAATGTTGTGATCAATCCAGGACATAATGTGTTTATGCTGAAAATCAAGAACACCTTTTGCAGAATGGATTCAGAAGCTAATAGTCCAATGCAATTGAACAAAATGGACTAACAAGTTTAAGAGCATCCAAATCAAGATGTACCTTTTCTAAAGAAATCGATGCCGTGAGTCCAGATGTAAGCATTGCAATTACTTCCGGATCTGGTCTCGGAATTGGAAGGATGTGTTTGGCATTTGCCTAAATAAAATTGATGAGACTTACTCCAACAACATGAAGAAATTGACAAATTTGCACACAATAACACGCACACAGATATTAATTTTTTAGTGGGGTACCATGACGAATTCAGCAAAGCCACCAAATGTCATAATGGCAGCCGGAGTGCCAACCTTCAAATTACTCACAGAATCACCAACAGCAGCAACTATCCCTACAGCCTGCAATAGATTGAGCCGACAAGATATTTTAAAGGCTAAGTAACCGTGATGAAGCTCAGTCAGTTAAAAGCAGTTCCAAGTGCCAGAAATCAAATTACGTTACATGCAGGACCAAAGAAATTAAACATGAACTTAGATCAAAAGTATTAGATCTAACGACCCAAATGCTAAATGTGGAATCTCCACTGCACCTCAAATCCAGCATCAAAGGGAAGGCGGGAAGCAAGATCTTTATCCCCACTGAAGTAACGACCAGAGCTAAAATTGACCTGTTTCAAAATGCATAGGTTGCCAATAAACTGAGTGTTATGCAAAAAGTTGAAAACTATATAAAACTTGTGAAGTTGAGATCATTTGAATAAGAGAGAAATAATATAAATCACATACTGCTTTCCTTAAAACAAAATATGTGATAATTTTGGACAAAAGTTCAAGGCAAGTGTGAAGATTTTATTATAAGAAGATAGGGAGTATATTAAATATATATGATAGAACATACATCACTAGCATTGACACCAGCATATACAACTTTGAAAAGAACGTGGTCTGGTTTGAGAGGCAACTTCAATTGAACTCGCATAATTCTGGTAGCACTTCGAAAGTTGTGACTCAGGGTATGAACAACTCTATAGAAGAAAAATTAGAAAAGTAAGTTGTTGGTAGACGAGCAGGCTGGCCAAACCAGATGAGTAGGAATGCAATGGGGGGAACCGTTTACATCTTCTCAAAGCTTTGTGGAATTTGAAATTTCGGTGTGACAAAAGTTGAAGATATTCTCTTCAATTTCGAAGAGTGCACAATATATTTTGCTTCTTCAGCTGGAGTTGGCCAATACTCCATTCCTCTACGTTTTGAAATCCACAGACATGACCCTGCCTTGTTCTCATTAGTGATAAGTTCAAAGGCACCTGAAAATTTACAATTTGAACATCAAAACTAGAAGAACACCAATCCACTTATAGAGCACAAGAAAATTCCTTATATAGGATTAAATAAGTCCTATTTTGGAAATAAAAGACATGTAGTCCTATTTGTGCACTTTGACTAAGTTTTAGTCCTATTTAGAGCAATTTCTATATTGAGCAACTTTCCTCCAGTTTGTGGAAAAATGTGAGGGCAGACGTGTTTGTCTTAGTACAAACCTTTCACCACCATATCCATTGGCAAATACCCTCCTATTTGATTAATAAAATCTTGATTCACCTTTGAAGCAAGGTCTGTTTGCACAAACTGTGATTGAACAGCAAGAGAAGAAAAACTTGTGTTAAGCCTGGACGTCACATAATCACATTGTCTTCCATATTATAATCATATTAGTACTACTCATTTTGTTATCATCTAAGCAGTTTCCTTAGATTTGTTACTCTCTACAGATAGGAAATACTTGGCACATTTCTAAATATACCAGAACATCTGGTATAAAATATGACCATCACCATCCCAAAAAAATTGAGGAGTTGATTTTTTACCTCAGGGCAAAGAACGTTCACTCGTATTCCTTGACGCTTGTATGGAGCCAGTGATCTAGTGAACATAACAACACCTCCTATAATTTTTAAACAGTTTGGCATAAAAGAAGGATAAGGAAACGTGAAAAGGAAAAAACTAAAACGCACACGAAAAAGGGCAAAGAAGGCAACATGTATGGTCTTAAAGAAGCCAACTGACCTTTTGAAGCCGAATAGATAGGGTCTGTGTACATAGGATACAGTCCTGAAGCAGATCCTAAGTTTATGATCACACCAGGCTTTCCTGTGGTTTGCATTATTTGGATCTGTGTCAAGTGTATAATTATACTTCACTGACTAATTATAGCATCAAGAGTTAGTGCAACGAGATGCAATCAATAGAAAGAAATAAGTAATCAAACTCACAGCAAACTTAGTGCAATCAATAACAGCAACAAGGTTAACATTAAGTGTGTGCCTCCAAGTATTGTCTCCATCAGTTTTATCTTGATAAAAAGGCACATTACTAGCCAATCCTGCAGAGTTAATGCAGATATCCAGTCCTCCATAAGTTTCAACGTGCTTCTGGAAAGCAGCTTTTAGTTCTCCTGTGCAGAATTTCAACATTTCAGAGGTGAATCACCAAATGAATTTAGATTTTTATATGAGCATTTCTGAAAGTAAATTAAAATATTTAAGAGAGACATGCTGACATAAAGCTGGCTAATAAATTGAATTTGTTCTTTTAGCTTGATCTGTACCATGACCATTATGGTCAAATTAAGAAGCCCGATCCAATTATGAATACTATCCATGGGTGACAAAAAGGCAATGATGGATCTGAAGAAACTCTTATTTGAGTGAATGGAATTGGAGAAATGTTTTCTTTGGAAATGTGCTGAATCTAGCAAATCGAACTCGCCTCTGTTAGTAACATCACATCTGATGAATGTGGCAGGCTGAATCTCCAGTTCAGAATGGAATTTGGAGATCTCTTTCTCTGCCAGAGATGCTACTTCGTTTCCCTTCTCTGCCACGGAAAAGTCAAGAACGGTGAGGAAAACTCCCTTCTGTGCAAGTGCCAAACAAAGTGCTCTACCTGCATAAAACATCAAAGCTTAGATTTCTCAATGATGATATTGAATCTGAACCATTGCAATGATAATTAAAGAGAGAAGTGTCAACATGGTACCTAAACTTGTCTCAAGTAGCATAAAGAGTACATTACTTTACCTCTGACACTCCAAAGTACATCAACTTGGGTTTTGAGTGTGAATTGAGTATGTCCGTTATACAAACATTAAAAAATGATGACCTGACTACATATATAGTTGATGTGGCTAAAAAAGTTCAAGTACGATGGGGTAAATATTACTCCGTATATGTTTGACATGGTAAAAAAGTCTGAAGTACAAGAAGGGATACTTGAATTAATTAAACAAAGACCCTTGTGTTATGCCCATTTTCTTTCTTTCATCTTATCATCGATGATACCATTTTCAAATCACATTTTCTAGAGAACTTCGTCGATCTATGGTCCAAAGTTCAAACCTTTTTGTATCTACGGTAAGATCTTAAGTCATATTCATTTCTCATTTCATTTTCAATTCATGTGGGTGTTTTATCTGCATTTAGGATTTTCTGTTGCTAACTCTGTATGTAAACCACGTTTATGCTGCGGATTTGTTTGGAATTGAATCATTTATGGAATTTATCCATGTCATGAGGTTTTTCACCTTTTTATGATTTTTAAGAGAGATTTTGTGCGATTATTGATTGGAATTTATTTTGTGAATAAGACTTGGTTGTTGTTGTTGATTGGAATTTATTTGTTGCAGAAATTCTAAGGTTCACCCGAAGATGTAGCTTTTGCCTAGAAGTGATTATGTCCAGATCCGAGAAGTGTTGGATTATAATCTAGAAGAAGAGTTTACCCTAATTCGATGAACTATAGATGATTATCCTAGTAGTACATAGGATTTAGGATAATAAAAATAGGGAACACTGCCACCAATCTGCCCAGGACGAATGACTACCCACCGGACCACCAAATAGATCTCCACCGTTCAAAACTAAGAACTAGAAGTCTATGAACCAATGCTGAAAAATCATAGCAGTCCAACGGTTCAAACTCGGTAATGATGATTTTGTAAAGCTGGACAGATTAGGGTGAATAAAACATGCAGAAATAGAAGATGGCGATTGCCTGAATAATACAAGTTGATATGACAGATATACTAGAACAACTATAAAATTACAAGTTGATTTACTATGTAGTATGGATTGTAAGAAGAAATACTACTTCAATATACAATTTGATGTACTAATTGGAGCCTTTTCTCGTTAATTAAATATACACTTCGCAATCAAAGGAATATAGGATTAAAGTTACTGGAAGTGCTTTCAAACAGCAGCCCACTTAACTAATTGAATCAGTATATCCAATATGAACATTTCCAGACAAAGATCGAATTACCAAATTTAAAGGTAAAGGCGATCAATTCATCAATCATGCAGAAAATGCAACCCTTAAACATTTGTTGTCAGTGAAACAGAGGAAGAAAGTACCGATTCCGGAGGCGCCGCCGGTGACCAAGGCCGATAGGCCAGGCTTGAGCTCCATGAATCTTCAGGTCTAGTCAACTCTAGGTCGATATGTGAATCGTTGGTATAAGAATAAGAATTTTGATGGATCCAACAGTAAATCACAGTATGGAGGACATATGACCTCTGAGCGACTGAGCTTCCTCTGTTCTACGCTTATTTCAATGTGGAGCCTATCCACATACTAATACTCCGCGGGAAGACTATAAATACTCTTTTTTCTGTTTCTTAGGTTTAAGATAAACTTACACGTTTATTTTAGGAAAGTTTTTTAATTTTTTTGAAAGGAATTAACTTACATTAAAATCAAACCAACCAAAGTAGAAATCTGTTCCAAGACCTGCATCTTCCTCTCTCCAAACAAAACCAAAAGTTCATCGACCCCTCACGTCATGATCAGACATAGAATAGTCCACCTTGGATAGAGCGAGACTAATCGCTGAAACGGTGAGAGCAAAGAGACTATTACCAGCCGAGTCAGCCTGATTGCCTCCCAACAGAAACATATCTAATGAAATAAACCAAACAAAAACCTTACCCCCTTAGTGTTCGAAATAACAGTACAAACATGGTTGGTAATTAAACAACTCAAAAGGAGAAAAATAGGATCAAATAAAATAAACTTATGGAGCAACCGAATCCATACTTCAAACGTCATCCTCCATGGCGGCGGTTCAGGAGGGGGGTGGGTCATGAACTTTTCATCTTCTTCCTCCAACATTTGAATCAGGAATTCTCCAACATGGTAGTTTGTTGAACTTCTCCTGCCGTCCATGTTGGATCGTTTATGAACATCGCCCTTCCCCACGATCGGGCTTGGACAGTTTCTTCAAATTTGTTGCGTTGAAAATCGTCGAGCGATTGGAATCGCCGACCCCAAACTTCCGCAGACGATGGGTCTAAAACCATAGTTGAGCCGTAACTTATACTCCCTCCGGTTCTAAAAAACCTTCACACTTTGACTTCACACAGATTAAGAAAATAACTGTGAAGTGCACTGTTTGGCACTGTTTGCACACTGTTTGACATTGTTTTGCATTGTTTTGGTGTAGATAATTTGCCAAATAAGGAAATAAGAAGAAGTGTGAAGTTAATTTTAGGAATTCCCGAAAAGGAAAGTGGGAAGTTGTTTGAGAACCGGAGGGAGTAATTAGTTTTTCATAACTCAACTAATTTAGTTGGTTCGTCCGGATGATATTCCACAATTTCAGTCGATCAAGTATACTTCTGGGTAACCAATCTACTTCACACTAGAAAGGTCAATCCATGAAAGTTTTTAATATAAAGTTATCTTGTACTCTTACTTTATTATCTGCCTTTATTATCTACTTTACATTCACTTTCTCTCTTCAACTACAGTTTATCTACTTTTGGGAGCGTAATGAGAAAATCAAAACAAAAAATCACTTTCTTGAAAATCGTAAAATAAAAAAATGAAGTTTTTTTTGCTGACCGGAGGGAGTAATACGGAGTAAAATAAAAAATACGGAGTAAAATAAACCCATGTAGATTGTCTTTAATCTTTTGCACACATAAAAGAGTTTTGCTAGAAGTATCGCAAAATGTACCCCATTTTTACCCCAACTCCTAATGTGTGATCATAAATGGGCCAACTCATTTAAGTGATGTCCCATTTAAATGAATTGGCTCATTTATGGACACAGGTTACGGGATGGGGATAAAAATGTGTACATTTTGGGATACCTTTAGCATTTTTTACGTAAAAGGTGCATACTAGATAGCACGTTGGTTGACCACCGTAAAGCAATTTATTACTTTTCACGTGCGGACTTTATTTGTCCTATTAAATTGATTTTTCTTAGTTAGATTGTTTTGTTTTGTTTACTTAATCAAAATATTGATTTTTAATTATATTCCATTTTCGATTTTGTTACTTTGAAAAATTTTTAATAAAGTTTTTGAATATGTAAATATTAATTATTACAAATTGATTTATTATCAATTGGAATAATTTAACTTTAATATTAGTTGATCAAACAATATTGACTTTGCAAATCAATTTGTGACCGATGACGTACAATTGTAATCGGACAACTTTAATTGTTTACGATATGTCAAATATATAGTACCTTTGTGCCAAATTAATTTGCAAATTCAATTATTTTAGTTTACATTTTGTTCACTTAATTAGTATATAATTTTTTTATTTTATTCTAATTTGGATTTTATTAATTTGAAAATTCAACTATTTTACCACATTTTCTAAAAGTAATAATACATGTCCACCTTAACAATTACTCAACTTGTTTGTTCTAGGATGGAATGAATGGTTGTTAAAATATCACATGTAATTGTGAGAGGAACATATCATATTTCAATCTTTCTCCTTTTGGGTATGTTAGGTGTTTAATATGAATTAGAAGTATGAAGTATCCAAAAATTCGTAAGTACCTAAATCATATGTTACAGACATGAATAGACTGTGAACCGATTTGAATGTGCATTATATTCAATGTGGTTCACAATAAAGGGCATGATTGGTAATGTCTGCGATGCCTACAATTTCTGATTTGGCTGAAATGGCCGAAAGTATTGAAGTGAGAGTGTTTGGTATTATTTTGGCTGAAATGATTGATTGAATGTTCAATTACGATGAAGGGTATTAATATTAGTATACCATTAAATAATTTCATGCCCCGGACCTACCCGGACACGTCAACAACCCGCCGTACAGTACGAATAGTCAACTGCAGTCCAACTCATCCATACTATACAAGGTGTCTTGAATACCATTCACACATAGTACATCCATAAACAATCATAATGTAAATATTCATTTAAAGCAGCAGAAACAATGTTACAAGTATTCAAGCCACACTTGGCAAACTTAGGCATACAAGCCCCCAAATAATTATTCAGAAAAATAATATCCATGAGCATTTATATAATTATTTTTAAAATAGAAACGGAGGAAGCACGAATCAAGTCTTCCCTCCTCGATCTTCCCGAAGCAACGAGCGACGGTAGCAACCTTCAAGTTCTACCTGAAACTGTGAGGTGGCCTCCCCCGTGAAGGGGGGGTCAGTACTTTAAAGCATTTGAAAAGTACAATGACAACTACACTGAATATAATCAATGTTTCAATTTCTAAGACCCTCAATCTAGGGTGATATTACATTATAGACCATAACTCCTGGTTACCCCCATTTTAAAAATACACTTACTTTATATAAGTCAAGTATTCGGCTCGTAGGCTCATATTCATTTAGAATTCACCATATCTATTTTCCGTGATCCCAAGTCACGACAACTCATATAGTTCATCATGCCACGATTTCATAGCAAGGGCTCGGCCCAACTACATTTCTATGATATCCGTTAACCAAAATTCAACACATCACTATTGCATAGCAAGGGCTCGGCCCAACTACATTTCTATGCAATCTTACAATTTCATGGCAAGGGCTCGGCCCAACTACGTTTCCATGATATCCGCTAATGCATGGCAAGGATTCGGCCCAACTATGTTTCCATGTACTTCACAATTACATCGCAAGGGCTCAGCCCAACTATGTTTCAATGTAATTCTAGAGTCCGGCTCTAACTCATCATTTTAGTCTGATTCTCAAACAAATCCTATGCTTAGAATCCATTCGCTTAAAGTAACCTTTAAGACTTACCCTTAACATACCTTAGAGATCATACAATTCATCCTTAAAGTATCTCTTAAGACTACTTAAGGCATCACTATTCATATTCCAATCCCTTAAGATTAATTCCATTATTATTCATATCAATCTCCCGACTAGTATTTTAATACTAGTCGGATAATCTTAGAACAACTAGTTCAAAATTCATAGTCCAATGATTCATTTTCAATGTTTTCCAATCCAAATATAGTTTAATCTCAATATCAAAAATATCCCTTTTATTCATTCATGAATTCTTTACATGAAATAAAAGTATATTTTATCACAATATTTGATAGTAAATTCCTACTATCATGTCATCATATTCATAACACATAATCATACACAATTTCTCTAAATTTGTATATCATGCTTCATTTACTCATATGCAATAGTATTTTCATTTAGGCATTGATAATCATTAATAATCCATGAAAATCACATTTAATACTTTAGGTAATCTTATGAAATTAACTCAACAATTATAAGCAATATAGTCAGTCATCCTCACCTTGTGATGTGCTACAATAGTTGCCTTTGCTAAGCCCTTCGATCTATCCCCGTTCTAGGCCGATTGAAAATGGAATTTCTGGACAACAGCGAAAAGCCGAGCGGCTTTCACAAACGCCGGGCGGCTTTCGCAGTGTGCAACTGCGAACAGCTCCTTTGGAGTAGGGGTGAGCATCGGGCGGGTTCGGGTCGGGCGGGTGGGTGAACCCAATACCCTTTCGGGTTTCGGATGTGTAATATGGATATCCTACCCTATGTTTTTTTACTTAGAAATTTTCGGGTTTGATTGTATTTCGGGTAGGGCGGGTTCGGATCGGGTATCGGGTTTAGTCGGTTTCAAGTTTCAACTAAAATAATTTGAAATTGCAAAATAATTTGTAATTTCAACACCAGTACGCAAGGCAAGTACGCAACACATGAATAAGAGTTGTACATATGCAGTGAGTAAGAGCTTCCACAGAGTTCATATCTCACAAATAATAATCATAATATGTAAGTCTGGAACAATCAGCAAGCTGATGTACAGAAGGATAAAAGCACTTGGGTTTTTCACTTCTCTACATACTCTGAAGAACCCAGTTCACTCTTTGTACTCGTTTGAGTAATAGAGTTGAAAAAGGCTTCTTCATCAAAATAATAAGGCAGTTATGTTACTTATGTACAACAAACAACATAACAGGGACAACTGGATAACCATAGTCAGTACTCAGTAGGCAACACATGAATATAGAATATATAGCTTGATTAGCTTCCACACTTCATTCATATTTCAAATCAACAGATTTGAAATTCTGAATGCATCATAATATACATCAACAATTAACAGGGACAACAGGATAAGTGAACATTCGAACAGATTTGTACATGCAAGTTTCACAAATATACGAACATCACAAGACTAATCACAACTCAGAACATCCATGCATCACCATTCATCAAGGACAACAGGATAAGTGGATAACCGAACATTCGAACAGATTTGTACATGCAAGTTTCACAAATATACGAACATCACAAGACTAATCACAT